CCCAGACCCATAAGCACACACACTCTTTCTCTCTCACACAAACACGCACAAGTTCTCAAGGACTATGGCGGAGAAGTACACACACACACACCCCCAGGACAGGTTGGTAGTAACCATTTGCAAACAGACCTATCTGGCATCAACAAAATATTAATTTCTTTGAGCCTCAAGTAGTCAGTCTATGGCCATTACCTTTTCAATAGCTAACATTATCACACAAGCATCCAGCTATCCCCTTATGTTAGTGTTGCTGCTATGATGCTATCCCTCACTGTTATCTCCAATGCTAATATCTACTATTATCCCACTAGCATCCAGCTATCCCTCACTGTCATCTCCAATGCTAATATCTACTATTATCCCACTAGCATCCAGCTATCCCTCACTGTCATCTCCAATGCTAATATCTACCATTATCCAACTAGCATCCAGCTATCCCTCACTGTTATCTCCAATGCTAATATCTACCATTATCCAACTAGCATCCAGCTATCCCTCACTGTTATCTCCAATGCTAATATCTACCATTATCCAACTAGCATCCAGCTATCCCTCACTGTTATCTCCAATGCTAATATCTACCATTATCCAACTAGCATCCAGCTATCCCTCACTGTTATCTCCAATGCTAATATCTACCATTATTCAACTAGCATCCACTATCCCTCACTGTTATCCTCCAATGCTAATATCTACCATTATCCAACTAGCATCCAGCTATCCCTCACTGTTATCTCCAATGCTAATATCTACCATTATCCAACTAGCATCCAGCTATCCCTCACTGTTATCTCCAATGCTAATATCTACCATTATCCAACTAGCATCCAGCTATCCCTCACTGTTATCTCCAATGCTAATATCTACCATTATCCAACACTCTTCCTTTCCTTTCCCTTTTCTTTAATCTGAATAAAGTCTAATGTCTTTAGACGTTGGGAATCGTCCCCCAGTGTGGAGATAAGAGGAAGCCATTTTACCAGCCCCCCCCCCCACCCAAGTGGAGAGACATATAACATTCTGGGACACTCTCACATTCAATTATCTGCTGGCTCCCTGCTAGTCGCTAGTCTATTAACATCTCTCTCTAGAGACTTTACTGAGGAGCTGTTGTAAATCTCTTAAGTGGCTTGTGGAGCTCAGTGAGGCTGTGAGAGCAGCTTTATTACACAACTTGACTGCTAACGACTACCACAAGACAAGGGGGTGGGGGGGGGGGGGGGGGGTTTAAAGGGTGTATGGTTACATGGTGGCAGAGGGGATTTAAAGGGATCGGTATACACAGCCATCTTTCTCCCCAGAACCCCCCCTCACCTCTGAGCCAGCTTCTGAGTCCGAGCAACCAGACTAAGAGAAGAAAAAGGTGAAAAAGACATGACCCCATAAGGAGGTACAATACTGATTTCCTGCCTTAAACAAACTATGTATTTTTCTTCTGTATGTAACAGCAATGTGAGTATGAGGTCAAGTCTAGGTTATATGGCAGGTTGCTCAGGGTGATTGTATACATACAGTACAGTGCCTTCGGATAGTATTCAGACCCCTTGACTTTTTCCACATTTTGTTACATTACAGCCTTATTCTAAAATGGAATTTAAAAAAAACTGAATCTTGTTTCTCATGATCTGAGATCGTTTTTTTTTTGTAAATTTTTTTTTTTAAACAAACTGCAATCGGGCTGTCATGTACCTTTTACTGAGGAGTGGCTTCCGTCTGGACACTCTACCATAAAGGTTGGTTTTTGCTCTGACATGCACTGTCAACTGTGGGACCTTATATAGACAGGTGTGTGCCTTTCCAAATCATGTCCAATCAATTGAATTTACCACATGTGGACTCCAATCAAGTTGTAGAAACATCTCAAAGATGATCAATGGAAACAGGATGCACCTGAGGTCAATTTCGAGTCTCATAGCAAAAGGTCTGAATACTTATGTAAATAAGGTATTTCTGGTTTTTATTTTCAATACATTTGCAAACATTTCTTAACTGTTTTAACTTTTGTCCTTATGGGGTATTGTGTGTAGATTACTGAGTATTTTTTATTTTTTTAATCCATTTTAGCATATGGCTGTAACGTAACAAAATGTGGAAAAAGTTAAGGGGTCTGAATACTTTCTGAAAGCACTATATATATATATATATATATATATATATATATATATATATATATATATATAACTTCATTGATACCAACTAGACAACTGTCAGTTTAACTCTGGTATCAGTGACCAAGGTTTACAACACTATTAGACCAAGCAGTCCAGTCATGTCCAGTATCTCTTCTTACCTCCGACTAGCAGCCAAACGAAAATCCCAGAAAATAATGAAATAAAAAATACAAATATGTATCAGTAGTGGAGGGGAATGTTGACAATGTGACCAGTAATGCAGTGGTAAAAAAAATGGTGGGTAAAAGTCATGCTCCCTACACTTTCAATGCATTTTTCAACAAAAGGTTGGGTAAACTGCGCTTACTTGCGTTTACCCTCCACTACACCACTGAATGTGGCACATTTTTGCTAGCCTCATTCATTCATCAGAATAGTTATGAAGGCCATTGAAGTAAAATACCGGTCAAATAAGAGGGCTGGCTTTACAAACTACAGGCTAAAGCTAACACTGAACACGGTGCTCTTTACAAACTACAGGCTAAAGCTAACACTGAACACTGAGCTCTTTACAAACTACAGGCTAAAGCTAACACTGAACACGGTGCTCTTTACAAACTACAGGCTAAAGCTAACACTGAACACTGAGCTCTTTACAAACTACAGGCTAAAGCTAACACTGAACACTGAGCTCTTTACAAACTACAGGCTAAAGCTAACACTGAACACTGTGCTCTTTACAAACTACAGGCTAAAGCTAACACTGAACACGGTGCTCTTTACAAACTACAGGCTAAAGCTAACACTGAACACGGTGCTCTTTACAAACTACAGGCTAAAGCTAACACTGAACACGGTGCTCTTTACAAACTACAGGCTAAAGCTAACACTGAACACTGTGCTCTAAACTCTGTCCTCTGTATGGGAGGGTAATACCCACCATGTCATCCTCCCCCTCGTTGTCGGTTATAGCCTGGAGAGGACAAACACACAACCCTCAGTCTCAATGAGAGATGTGAGCTGAAACCACACTACTGTTTAAAAGCTGAGAGAAATTCAGCCCTCTTTTCATTGACTACAGACAGCCCAGAAAAACTCAGATGCATAATGTAAAGAACTTACAGTATTGTCAACAACCTAGAGTATGACAGAAAACAACGAGATACTTTGACATATTATAGTAGCATCTTAACTCCCTATGTTAGATGGACAGACCTACCCCCTCATCGAACTCCTCAGGCTCCTCCTCATCCTCAAGCTTAGGAGAAAAACGGATATATCATCAATCAATCAAATAAAATGTATAAAGCCCTTCATGAAGATGTCATGTTTAAATCCATACAATGGAACAACCTGGGAGTCAGAGGATACCACCACTGATATCAAAGAGGGATTCTAGAACAGACCTATAAGAAGCTATATGGGGATGGAGAGGTCTACAGACCAACAAGAAGCTATAGGGATGGAGAGGTCTACAGACCTACAAGAAGCTATATGGGGATGGAGAGGTCTACAGACCTACAAGAAGATATATGGGGATGGAGAGGTCTACAGACCTACAAGAAGCTATATAGGGATGGAGAGGTCTACAGACCTACAAGAAGCTATATGGGGATGGAGAGGTCTACGACCTACAAGAAGCTATATGGGGATGGAGAGGTCTACAGACCTACAAGAAGCTATAGGGATGGAGAGGTCTACAGACCAACCAGAAGCTATATAGGGATGGAGAGGTCTACAGACCTACAAGAAGCTATATGGGGATGGAGAGGTCTCCAGACCTATAAGAAGCTATAGGGATGGAGAGGTCTACAGACCTACAAGAAGCTATATGGGGATGGAGAGGTCTACAGACCTACAAGAAGCTATATAGGGATGGAGAGGTCTACAGACCTACAATAAGCTATAGGGATGGAGAGTCTACAGACCTACAAGAAGCTATATGGGGATGGAGAGGTCTACAGACCTACAAGAAGCTATATAGGGATGGAGAGGTCTACAGACCTACAAGAAGCTATATAGGGATGGAGAGGTCTACAGACCTACAAGAAGCTATATAGGGATGGAGAGGTCTACAGACCTACAATAAGCTATAGGGATGGAGAGGTCTACAGACCTACAAGAAGCTATATGGGGATGGAGAGGTCTACAGACCTACAAGAAGCTATATAGGGATGGAGAGGTCTACAGACCTACAAGAAGCTATATAGGGATGGAGAGGTCTACAGACCTACAATAAGCTATATAGGGATGGAGAGGTCTACAGACCTACAAGAAGCTATATAGGGATGGAGAGGTCTACAGACCTACAATAAGCTATAGGGATGGAGAGGTCTACAGACCTATAAGAAGCTATAGGGATGGGGAGCCGGGTTAGGTTACAGTAGGTCAGGATGGCAGGAGAGAGAAGCCTGCTCCCATACTATACAGATGTAGGATCTTAATTTGAGCCAGTTTGCTACGACAGGAAAATAATCCTGCAGCAACAGGAAATGTGAATTATTATGTAGATTACATTTTTCATAAGGACGTGACAACAAAACAAAGACAGAGAGGAGCTGGCTACAACACAAACAGGCAGGCTGAGGAGAGATGTTCTCAACATCTGGGTACAGGACAGGGTTTAGTCGGGTGTTGAGTTGGAGAGATATGCAGGCACTGGGGTGGAGCTGGGTCATAGAAGAAAAGTGGGAGGAGAGCGAGGGTCACCTTGGACCCAGGTACAGTCTGTAAGACAGGACCTTTGACCTACCATACATTCCTCTGCAGCGACCTGGAGAGACACACACACAGTGGTTAGTCTTAATATGCTTCAATATGCTCGGATCCAGTCTCCTACGCACACACACTTGGTCGCACACACTGAAGCTTGCAACACACACACACACCTTCTTTCGGGATACCTCGTAGTCGAGTATGATTCCCCCAGCACCTAAATATAATGTAAAGTGCGTGTCTGACAGCATTGATTCTCACCTGTTTAGCCCCCATGCACTCAAACATCTTCTCCAACAAGACCCGCATCTGTTGTATGTTATTCATCAACACACAGGGCTGAGAGCGAGAGAGAGAGAGCGAGAGAAGAGGAGAGAGAGAGAGAGAGACAGGACAGAGGGATAATATATATATATATTATATATTATATATATATATATATTATATATATATATATATATGGGAGAGAGAATCTCACCTCAGGCGGACTCGGCCGAGCCGAGAGGCTCAGAGTTCAGCAGAGAGCAGACTGAGTTTAGGCCTTCTTCTCGCGACGTGCCGAGAGAGAGAGAGAGAGAGGAAGAGAGAGAGGGGAGAGAAAAGAGGACGAGAGAGCAAAAGAGAAGATGTGTGTTGAGGTGAAGTGATATTCAGAGAGAGACAGGGAGAGATAGAAGAAGGGAGAGATAGAGGGAGAAAGAGAAGGGAAGAAGAGAGAGAGGAGAAAGAGAGAGAGGGAGAAAGCGAGGAGGGAGAAAGCAAACGGGGGAGATGAGAGATAGGGATAAGAGAGAGGGAAAAATACAGGGAGAACGAGAGATAGTAACAGGGAGAGCAAAGGATAAGAGATGACATGGTAGCGAAGAGAGACAGTGAGACCATGAGAGTAGAGAATTAGTAAGAGAAGAGAGAGAGAGAGAGAGACAGGGAGAGCGAGAGAGAGACAGGGAGAGCGAGAGAGACAGGGAGAGAGAGAGAGAGAGAGAGAGAGAGAGAGAGAGTAAGATAAATAACATGCTGGAGTAACTAAGTAACTAAGATGTTTTATAAGCTCTAAAGAAGATGCAGTACACAAGCTGTAGAGAGAGGACATGGTGTCCTTCAGAAATGAGTTTTGAAGTAGATACAGTATATCAGTTCCTAAAGGAGCCCAGTTGAGAGGCATTCGTACTCACTATCTTCTCCTTCTGGCAGTAGGTGGGGAACTCCTTGGACAGGATAGCACAGTACTGCATCAGCACCTTGGTGATGGTCTGGAGACAGACAGAGAACACAGTTAGAAAACACCTTGGTGATCGTCTGGAGACAGAGAGAGAACACAGTTAGAAAACATCTTGGTGATGGTCTGGAGACAGACAGAGAACACAGTTAGAAAGCTTCTCAGGTTATAACATCACCATGCTCTATCAGATAGTGTGTTTTAGTGCTGAAAAAAGTATTATTCAATAATTAAATAACTCATAGCTGACAGAGAGAGAAAGAACGCGAGTAGGAGGAGAGTGACAGCTTTGCATCAGCCATTCTTACTTAATGAGTTTGCATAAACCTCCTATCACACAATGTTGACATCAACCACTGGCTTTCCACCCTGTAGACTATTACAACACACCAACCACTGGCTTTCCACCCTGTAGACTAATACAACACACCAACCACTGGCTTTCCACCCTGTAGACTATTACAACACACCAACCACTGGCTTTCCACCCTGTAGACTATTACAACACATCAACCACTGGCTTTCCACCCTGTAGACTAATACAACACACCAACCACCATGGCTTTCCACCTGTAGACTAATACAACCACACCACCACTGGCTTTCCACCCTGTAGACTATTACAACACACTCAACCACTGGCTTTCATCCACCCTGTAGACTAATACAACACACCAACCACTGGCTTGCCACCCTGTAGACTAATACACACACCAACCACTGGCTTTCCACCCTGCAGACTATTACAAACACATCAACCACGGCTTCCACCCTGTAGACTATTACAACACACCAACCACTGGCTTTCCACCCTGTAGACTATTACAACACACAACCACTGGCTTTCCACCTGCAGACTAATACAACACATCAACCACTGCTTCCACCCGTAGACATTACAAACACACCAACCACTGGCTTTCCACCCTGTAGACTAATACAACACACCAACCACTGGCTTTCCACCCTGTAGACTATTAAAAACACACCAACCACTGGCTTTCACCCTGCAGACTATTACAACACACCAACCACTGGCTTTCCACCCTGCAGACTATACAACACAACCAACCACTGGCTTTCCACCCTGTAGACTAATACAACACATCAACCACGGCTTTCCACCCTGTAGACTATTACAAACACCAACCACTGGTTTCCACCCTGTAGACTATTACAAACAAAAATCAACCACTGGCTTTCCACCGTAGACTTTACAACACACCAAACCACTGGCTTTCCACCCTGTAGACTATACAAAAACCACCAACCACTGGCTTTCCCACCCTGTAGGACTATTACAACACACCAACCACATGGCTTTCCACCCTGTAGACTTTTACAAACATCAACCACTGGCTTTCCACCCTGTAGACTATTACAACACATCAACCACTGGCTTTCCACCCTGTAGACTATTACAATACATCAACCACTGGCTTTCCACCCTGTAGACTATTACAACACATCAACCACTGGCTTTCCACCCTGCAGACTATTACAACACATCAACCACTGGCTTTCCACCCTGTAGACTATTACAACACATCAACCACTGGCTTTCCACCCTGTAGACTAATACAACACATCAACCACTGGCTTTCCACCCTGCAGACCATTACAACAAACCAACTCTATCACAAGTTCACTGCTTTAAAGTCAACCATAACCATCTGACCATGGCTTCTGAAATAATGCTTTTCAAGACAGCAAAGAGCTGTGAGGTGTCTATAACATTATCTCTCTTCCTCTTCTTCTCTGGATTCAAGTTTTGTTTGTTCTTAAAGAAGTTGACTGTGTATTCATTAATGTTGTTTGCTAATTTGGTTGAATTACATTGAAATGTACCTACTCATCTCGGTGAGAGAGTTTGTGTGTGTGCGTATGTGTTACCTTGGCGAAGCGCCTGTTGTAGTGGGCCTGCACCTTGGGGTCAGGACAGTCTAGTTTCTTGATGATCTCAAAGCTCTGGTTGAGCTGGGTGAAGATGTCCACTACTGAACTGGAGAACAGAGCATGCTCCGACGTCTGCTGGAACTATAGTAGGGAGAGGGAGAGAGGGAGAGACAGAGAGAGAGAGGGAGAGAGAGAGAGAGAGAGAGAGAGAGAGAGAGAGAGAGAGAGAGAGAGAGACAGAGAGAGAGCGAGAGAGACGAGAGAGAGAGAGACAGAGAGAAGAGAGAGAGAGAGAGAGAGAGAGAGAGAGAGAGAGAGAGAGAGAGAGAGAGAGAGAGAGAGAGCTAGTACAGAGAGCAACAGAGAGAGAGAGAGCACAGAGAGAGGGAGAGCAAGAGCAAACAGAGAGAGAGAGGACAGAGAGAGAGCGAAGGAGGAGCCGAACAGGAGAGGAGAGAGAGAGAGCAGAGCAACAGAGAGAGAGCGAGACAGAGAGCGAGAGAGAGAGAGAGAGAGCGAGAGGCGGAGAGAGAGAGAGAGAGAAGTCAGGGGTCAGAGGTCATGGTACAAAGGTCAGATAAATAGAATTAGTCTGCACCCCGATTCTCCACCATTTTCTAGAAGTGTGTACTTGCACACTCCCCAAATGTATTTTAAAGTATAGGATTGGTGTAAGTATTGGCTGGAGGGAGTTTCCGCCATTGTTAAAGCCATGCGAGAAAGTGTGCAGGTGAGCTGGTGAGACGTGGAGGTCCCTCACCCCTTCCCTCTTGTCCCTCTCTAGAGCTCCATGCATAAACTCCATGGACACATCCTCGTTCTCACCCAGCCACTGAAGGACAAACTGCAAAAACCACCTGGAGAGAGAGAGAGGGAGGAAAGAAGAGGGAGAGAGAGAAGGAGGAGGAGAAGGGAGGGAGGGACAGCGGGAAATAAACGAGGGAGGGAGAGAAAGAAGGAAAGAGAAAGGGAGAGTTGAGTTCAGTTAAAGGAAGAGAGAATTGGAAAATACATGTGAGAGAGAAGCAGGTTGAAACTAAGTGTTAAAGAACAAGTGGCTGTCAGAGAGAGAGAGAAAGAGGGATTTGATGAATTCATGAGCAAGAGGATACAGTGTGTGTGTGTGTGTGTGTCTGTGTGTGTGTGTGGGTCCCTACTCACGCAGAGTACTCTGGTACAGTGTCTTGGAAAGCAGGCAGGTCGGTCACATACTCGTTGTATAGCCACTTGACCTTGAAGTGAAGATTCATGTAATCAGCACTCTTACACAGACGATGCTTCTCATGCTCTGAGGATGGAAACCACACACACACACACAGTTAGTTAGCCTCTGTCTGTCTTAACTGCCATGGTTACACCTGGGGAATAAACCGCAACAGTTACATTAACAGTATATTCCACATTCTCCACGGTTCTACACAAAACTCAAATAATAACTGCAGTCATGTTGAATTTGTGAAAACAATTGCAATGTTAGTGTTATTGTATGAATTAATTGATGAAGCCATCTCCCTAGGAAGGCTGGGAATTGTCAGGGACCTCACGATGCGATATTATCACTTCTTAGTAGGGTGTCCACCCACTCCGCCCAGAGTGCGTGAAAACGCGCTTTGGTAATGACATTTCACTTCCTTACGTTATAAAATAAAAATGTACCTAGACTAATTTCATTCTTCATGTTCTGAATCGTTCAGTGGGGTCTTTCTCTAACATCTTATTAACATTATTTCCAAAAAGTCTGATTTCGTAACCTAATACATCCGATAATAAGCACCGAGCTCTTGACAGAGTGGCGCCGCTTTCTCGCAGCGACTTTTGATGATTTTACGCTGTGGTCGTCTGCAAAGTTGTTTCCGCGGGTCACAAAAAAAAGCCAACTTAACGCGACACCCTTTCTTATGAAGACACTGAGCTGAATTCAATGTAAAAGGCCTTGAAAATAAAAAACTTGCGGTACGCTCAGTGCTCCGTTGATATTTCAGAGAGATACGCTTGTTTTTGTGAGAAATCTTTGAAAAATAACAGGAATTTCGCATTAATATGAAAAGTGTATACTAAAATATGAAAATACTACATGTCTCAAAATCGATATCTATCCTACGTTTATATATTTTTTTATATTGTTTTATGTCCTCCGGATTGAAAGAGAAAGATGAGTTCAACGGCTGTCAGCCTTTATTCACAGCATCCAGCCTAGCTGACGCAATGCTATGTTCCACTTTTTTCACCACTTTTTTCTGGCCATCCTACATCGATAAAAAACTCCAATAACTTTTTAATGGATTATGATAGAGACATTAGGTTCGGACAGTTGGTTTTCTTAGTGAAAACTAGACAATTAACATAGTATTTTACCCATTGGTCAAAATATGTGTTTTTGATTCGACACCCTATACTTAGGTGGTGATACGATGTGTCTTGAGATTCTCACAATTCTATATGTATTGCGATTCGATAATGCGATTGTATTGTGATTTGATGGTCCAGACATTTTGCTCACTCATCTCTGCAGCAGAGGGAGCATGAGAACATTTGTTTTGATCAGTCACGGAAATAAAAGTGCCGAAAACATGTTGGTTCACTGTTTAAAAAGAAGATGGAGAACAAGCTATAGGAAGAAACATTTTGACGCAGTTTTGGCGCAGGTACAGCCGACTAGCGTCAACTAACGCTACCTAGCAAAAACAAAAACAAATCGATACTTGGAGTCTATGTATCTATATAATATCGTCCAAAATAATATCACAATATGTAACTATACATGTTTTCCCCCATCACTACTCCCTAGAGAAGACAGTACAGAGAATACTATTGTGGTGCCAGTCTGTCATTCTGGTAGAATAGCTATATTCTGTGGTAGTCCCGTGTGGCTCAGTTGGTAGAGCATGGCATTTGCAATGCCAGGGTTGTGGGTTCGATTCCCACGGGAGACCAGTACGAACAAATATGAAAATGTATGCACTCACTAACTGTAGGTCGCTCTGGATAAGAGCGTCTGCTAAATATGTCATGCCAAGGGTAGACGAACATCGTGCTGTAAAAACAGATTCTTATTTTTTTCCCATGTTTACTAGTACTGAGCTCAAAGAGTTGGTCCATGTGACTGATCTTCCTCCAGCTCTAAGACTGGACTGTCAGCACAGCACACACCATCACTCTACTGGCATTGGAGAAAGAGGATACTTAAATGTGAATAAGGGTCCCTAGAACACACATTTCTCTGTGTGAAGGCCAGGGTGTGTGTTGCTTGGACATATCTTTACTTTACTGGGTGTGACTGATGGAATTCTGGACCTCCTGAGCTATCAAGGCCACATGATCCATCAGTATGCCTGTCTGCTGTGTTGTGGCATGATGCTTGACGGTTCAGTGCATTGGAGCTCAGTGGTCAAGAAGACAAACAGAGCACAGCAAAAGCGCACAACACACACACACACAAATCCCTCACAGAAACATGAACACACAAGCATGTACACACACATCTTACCAGCGTAAAAGTCTAGTCTGCGGATGCGGATTGTTTCAGGCGCTGAGATGGCAACACAAATGAGAGACAAACAAAAAATGAGGAACGAACGAGAGAGGAGAGGAGAGACAGAGACAGAGACAGAGAGAGAGAGAGAGAGAGAGAGAGAGAGAGAGAAGAGAGAGAGAGAGAGAGAGAGAGAGAGAGAGAGAGAAGTGAGATAGATAGAGAGAGAGAGAGAGATACAGAGAGAGAGAAAGAGAGGAGAGACAAAGAGAGGAGACAGGGAGATATATATATATATATATATATATATATATATAGAGAGAGAGAGAGAGAGAGAGAGAGAGAGAGAGAGAGAGAGAGAGAGAGAGAGGAGAGAGAGAAAGAGAGGGACAGAAAGAGAGCGAGAGAGACAGAAAGAGAGCGAGAGAGAGCGAGAGATAAAAGAGAGAGAGAGAGAGAGAGAGAAGAGAGAAAGAGAGAGAGAAGAGAGAAGAAAGAGAGAGAGAGAGAGAGAGAGAAGAGAGAGAAGAAAGAGAGAAGAGAGAAAGAGAGAAGAGAGAGAGAAAGAATAGAGAGAAAGAGAGAGAGAAGAGAGAGAGGACAAAGAGAGGATGAGAGAGACAGAAAGAGAGACGGGGGGGGGGGGGGGGGGAGAGAGACAGAGAAAGAGAGAGAGAGCGAGAGAGAGAGAGAGAGAGAGAAAAGAGACAGAAGAGAGAGAAAGAGAGAGAGGACAAAGAGAGAGGACAAAAGAGCGAGAGACAGGGAGAGCGAGAGAGAGCGAGAGCGAGAGGAGAGAGAGAGAGAGAGAGAGAAGAGCGGAGGGGGGGGAGCGAAAAAAAAGCGAAAAGATGTCAGCAGAACATATATAAGGATAAAAAGTGACGAAAGGACAGACAGGGAGGGAGGGAGGGAGGGAGGGAGGGGGGGGGGGAGTTGGAGTTAGGATAATGATAGGAAGAGAGAGATGATGGAAAGATAGAGTTAGCATGACAGAACAGAAGGCAATGATAGAAGATAATGAGACTCATCAATGAGTCAACATCCAGCATATGCCCATAACATTTTAGTCATTTAACAGACTTACAGGAGCAATTAGGTTTAAGTGCCTTGCTCAAGGGCATAGACAGATTTTTCACCTAGTCGACTCGTGGATTCAAACCAGTGACCTTTCAGTTACTGGCCCAACACTATTAACCACTAGGCTACCTGCCGCCTTCTCTCTCTTTCTATTTCCGCTTCGTACAGAGGCTAAGTCATCGTAATGATTGGTCCGCATTAATATAATAATAATAATAATAAATAATAATAATAATAATAATAATAATAATAATATATGCCAACTGAGCTACAGAGGACCATTAACTAAGTCAAGTAAAATACGACTCAAAAAATAAGAACTAAACATCCTTCAGAAGCTAAGGCCAGGAATTATTCTACAACATTGATTCAAAATGACCCCGCTATATGGCTTTTTGGTAAATAGGAATGAATGGAACCAATACTACAGTCTAGGGTTACAGGAATTAACTGAGGACAAGCTAATGTTAGCATGGGACACGGCTCTATTTATATGAGAAACAACAGTACTACCATGCTAGCTAACTAAGGACATGCTAATGTTAGCATGGGACACGGCTGTATTTATATGAGAAACAACAGTACTGCCATGCTAGCTAACTAAGGACATGCTAATGTTAGCATGGGACATGGCTCTATTTATAGGTGCAACAACAGTACTACCATGCTAGCTAACTAAGGACATGCTAATGTTAGCATGGGACATGGCTGTATTTATATGTTCAACAACAGTATTACCATGCTACATAGGGGTACTAGCGCGTAAAAGTGCTATAGGTAAGCTACTACAGTTGACCTATAACCTCACCATTGTTCCAGTGGCAGTGGTCGATGTTATCAAAAACTGAGAGAGGGATGACAGAAGACGATGAGGAGGAGAGGAAGAAATGGAGTGGATATGAGTAATGAGACAGAGATGAAAATACACACACACACACACACACACACACACACACACACACACACATGGTTTTACCTTCAAGGGCGTACTTCATGTCCTGAGCGAACAGCGTCCACATGACCTCAGCACTGACCTTCCCCACGTTGAGCTCCTGAGGAAACCTGGGAACACAGGGGTCAGAGGTCAAGAGTTAGGGTCACAGACCAGTTAGAGATGCTTAATAAACCACGTTTGATGTGTTGGATACCATTCCATTTATTCGGTTCCAGCCATTACTATGAGCCCCTCCTCCCCAATTAAGGTGCTACCAGCCGCCTGTGTTATATACACTACCGGTCAAAAGTTTTAGAACACCTACTCATAATAGTGAAGACATCAAAAATATGAAATAACACATATGGAATCATGTAGTAATCAATTAAGTGTTAAACAAATCAAAATATATTTTATATTTTTCAAATAGCCACCCTTTGCCTTAATGACAGCTTTGCACACTCCAGGCAATCTCACAACCAGCTTCATGAGGTAGTCACCTGGAATGCATTTCAATTTACAGGTGTGCCTTCTTAAAAAGTTAATTTGTGGAATGTATTTCCTTCTTAATGCGTTTGAGCCAATCAGTTGTGTTGTGACAAGGTAGGGGGGGTTTACCGAATATAGCCCTATTTGGTAAAAGACCAAGTCCATATTATGGCAAGAACAGCTCAAATAAGCAAAGAGAAACGACAGTCCATCATTACTTTAAGACATGAAGGTCAGTCAATATGGAACATTTGAAGAACTTTTAATGTTTCTTCAAGTGCAGTCGCAAAAACCATCAAGCGCTATGATGAAACTGGCTCTCATGAGGACCGCCACAGGAATGGAAGACCCAGAGTTACCTCTGCTGCAGAGGATAAGTTAATCAGAGTTACCAGCCTCAGAAATTGCAGCCCAAATAAATGCTTCACAGAGTTCAAGTCACAGACACATCTCAACATCAACTGTTCAGAGGAGGCCTTCATGGTCGAATTGCTGCAAAGAAACCACTACTAAAGTACACCAATAATAAGCAAGAGACTTGCTTGGGCCAAGAAACACAAGCAATGGACATTAGACCGGTGGAAATGTGTCCTTTGGTCTGGAGTCCAAATTTGAGATTTTTGGTTCCAACCGCTGTGTCTTTGTGAGACGCGGTGTGGGTGAACGGATGATCTCCGCATGTGTAGTTCCCACCGTAAAGCATGGAGGAGGAGGTGTTATGGTGTGGGGGTGCTTTGCTGGAGACACTGTCTGTGATTTATTTAGAATTCAAGGCACACTTAACCAGCATGGCTACCACAGCATTCTGCAGCGATACGCCATCCCATCTGGTTTGGGTTTAGTGGAACTATCATTTGTTTTTCAACAGGACAATGACCCAACACACCTCCAGGCTGTGTAAGGGCTATTTTACCAAGAAGGAGAGTGATGGAGTGCTGCATCAGATAACCTGGCCTCCACAATCCCCTGACCTCAACCCAATTGAGTTGGTTTGGGATGAGATCGGACGGCAGAGTGAAGGAAAAGCAGTCAACAAGTCCTAAGCATATGTGGGAACTCCTTCAAGACTGTTGGAAAAGCATTCCAGGTGAAGCTGGTTGAGAGAATGCCAAGAGTTTGCAAAGCTGTCATCAAGGCAAAGGGTGGCTATTTGAAGAATCTCAAATATAAAATATATTTTGATTTGTTTAACACTTTTTTTGGTTACTACATGATTCCATATGTGTTATTTCATAGTTTTGATGTCTTCACTATTATTCTACAATGTAGAAAATAGTAAAAATAAAGACAAACCCTTGAATGAGTAGGTGTTCTAAAACCTTTGACCGGTAGTGTACGTGTGTGTTGTGTATGTGTAGGTACTGACTGGTTAATGATGGGTGTGTAGGCGTTCTTGTCTTCTTCTATGATGGAGACGATGAGGGTGATGAGTTTGGGCCAGAAGTCCAGATTGTGGATAGTAGGCCCAGTCTCCTCTGGCTCCTTCTTCACTTCCTCTTCCTCTTCTTCCTCTTCCTCTCCTCCTCCTCCTCCTCTTCTTCCTCAGCCTCACCCTCCTCCTCTTCTTCTCCCTGTTTCTTCTCCTTCTTCTCCTTCTTCTTCTTCTCCTTCTTCTTCTTCTCTGGCTTGGGCTGTGGGAGAGAGAAGCAAAGCCAGGAGCTTGTAAACATTCCTATAAAAGTTATTTAGACCACTATGGTCAAAACATGTCAACATTTTTCAGGTTGTAGTGTCGCAGGTCTGAACTAAAAAAACGTATAACATTTATTGAAGAAGAAGAAGAAGAATTATACTCACAGGCTCTTCGGCAGGCTGGAACTGTCTCATGTAGAGCTCTATACAGTTGTTGAAGATGTACTCGTAGGTGGAATTTCCACAGGCCTTCACACAGTCTCTCACCACATGGGCTGCCCTGGGGGGGCTCTGAAGTTCCAACACCTGGCCACACGGGGGAGACAGAGAGGCAGACAATCAGACACAGAGAGAGAGAAAGACAGTCAGACAGAGAGACAGACTCAGTCAGACAGAGAGACAGACCCACGGGGGAGACAGAGAGGCAGAGAGACAGACACAGACAGAGAGAGAGAGAGACGAGAAAAGACCAGTAGAAGAGAGACAGACAGGAAGAGAGGCAGAGAGACAGACTCACGAGAGGGCAGAAAGCATGACAAGAGACAATCGTAACAGAGGACAGACCCACGGGGGAGACAGAGAAAAGTAAGAGACAGAGAGACAGAAAACAAAAAAAAAAAAAAGAAAACAAAAACAGAAGAAAGAGAGCGAAAGACAGATCAGACAAGAGGAGGCAGAGAAAGACAGTCAGCGAGGACAGACGTCAGACAGAGAGACAGACCCACGGGGGAGACAGAGAGGCAGAGAGACAGACAATCAGACAGAGAGAGAGAGAGAAAGACAGTCAGACAGAGAGACAGACTCAGTCACAGGCATCAGAGAGAGAAGAGAGAGACCAAGACCAACAGAGAGAGAGAATCAGTCGACCAAGAGACAGACCAGGGGAGACGAGACACATTTACAGTATGACATCAAACTTAATTCAAAGTGCATTTAAACACTTCTATGGTAAAATATTTGACTTACTATATGTGAACACTAAAAACTACATGTTCACACTGAAGCACACACAGTATTACAAGCATTCAGTATGTGTGTGTACCATGCAGATACACACACACCAGGGTTTCTGTTAGCAGGTAATAGCCAGCTTTTGGCCGATAGAAAAGCCAATAAATTAAATTGTCTGGGAGAAGAAGAATAAATCCTATTGCGAAATAATTCTTTTTAGCCTCTTCATTGGTGGAAATACCAGTCGATGTAAATACATTTATCTGGTCATGTTTATCGGTCTATAGGTTAATTTGCATAATTTAGTGGAATTAAATTGGTTTGTGCAGTATATTTGTTATGTATCTTATTTATCACGTGCCTACAGCATACAGATACGGAGCTTCTCAAACAGCAAATGCAACGGAAGGCCGGCTTCATCAGCACGTCACACACCACTTTGCAATGAACTGGAGGCAGTATGCATTTTGAAAACATATACTTAATTGTTTGAAACCTGAACGTTTTATTACTTATTATGAGGCATGTCTTACCAAAATCAGATCATATCCGTGGAGGCAATTATTTTCTATGAACTTTATTTCATTGTCCAGTAGCCAAAGGCACAATCCTAGTCATATTAGCAACACATGCTAGTTGTTGCATCTTTAGATCAACCCATTTCTACATTTCTAACAGATATTTTCATCTCCGTCTCATGAAACCGCTGGCATGTGCAGTGCCCTTTTGACAATGGTGTTTTCCTGCTAATTTCATTAATGAAGGAACAGTCGTGCGTAGACTACTGCCTTGTGCATATTGCTACACTTATAACGTGAAGAAATAATAATTTATCAACATTTTAAGTTAAACATTCTGATATGTTGCACCAGACTCATTGCAAGTTAAAGTTTAGTTTATGTAGCTAGGCCAAATAGGCTATTTCTTTCTCGACCAGCTGACCAATAGAATAGGTAAACTTTTCTACTATGGGCGATAGTAGATTGACATAGTCTAGTGATTTTGCTGTTAGTTACTCGTCTGGTTGGCTGAGGAAAAGTAAATGTGGACAGTTATTCTAACATCTTCAAAGTGCACATCAGAATTCGTTAAGAAGGACCGCATATCGTTGCATCCAGGACTTGCATGTTCTGTTAATATGAATTACCATAATCTAAATGTGTGTGTGTGTGTCTGTGTGTATGTGTGTCACTAAGCCTCTCCGTACCTTCATTCTGAAGAAGGTAATGCTAGTCAGCAGATCCACAGTAGACTTCAGGTCCTGCAGACGAGGCTTACTACTGGCTGGGAAGTTATTCTGATGGGGGGAGGGGAAGAGAGAAGGTGGTTAAGTTAGGGTGGAAAAAAAAAAAAAAAAGAATTGTGCCAAAACTTCAGAAATTCCTTTTCCATTATGTATGTATTTTCCTGCTTTTCAGCAGGCAGGGGAAACATTCACACAGACGTTTCAGAGTAAACCGTCTTCAGCGTGGTGAAGGAAACACACACAACATGGATTTACAGCAGGACTGTCTTTTTAGTCAAGGATGCAACCGCCCCCATAGACAACACTTCCACTGTTCTATGGACTGGCCAAGTCTACCTGGCATTACTGTATCCTAGGTGTATACTGATACAGGGGATTTAGACAGGCTTAGAGCTGAAGGGACTACTGTTGATACAGGAGATTTAGACGGGCTTAGAGCTGAAGGGACTACTGTTGATACAGGAGATTTAGACGGGCTTAGAGCTGAAGGGACTACTGTTGATACAGGAGATTTAGACGGGCTTAGAGCTGAAGGGACTACTGTTGATACAGGAGATTTAGACGGGCTTAGAGCTGAAGGGACTACTGTTGGATAGGGTTAGACAGGAGATTGATAGAGATTTAGCGGGCTAGAGCTGAAGACTACTGTTGATATACATGAATTTAGACGGCTTGACTGACGGACACTGTTGATACAGGAGATTTAGACGGGCTAGACTGAGAGACTACGTTGAATACGGAGATTTAGACGGGCTAGAGCTGAAGGGACTATGTGATTCAGGAGATTAGACGGGCTTAGAGATGAAGGGACTACTGTTGATAAGGAGATTTAGACGGGCTTAGCGTGAAGGGACTACTGTTGAATACAGGAGATTTAGACGGGGTTAGAGTGAAGGGACTACTGTTGATACAGGAGATTAGACGGCTTAGAGCTAAAGGGGAATACGTTGATTCGGGAGTTTTTAGAGGGGCTTAGAGTAAAGGGCCCTTTTGTTGTATAAGGAGATTTTTAGGGGGCCCCTTAAGTAAAGGGGGATTTACTTTTGGATTACGGGGGTTTTAAAAGGGCTTAGAGTTTAAGGGGGACAAATGTTGATACGGGAGATTTAAGGGGTTTTAGATTTTAAAGGGGGGACTATTTTGATATACAGGAGATTTAGAGGGTTTAAAAAAAAGGGGGCGGGGGGAGGGGGACAAATGTTGTATACAGGAGTTTTAGAGTGTTTAGAGCTGGGGGGACTTTTTGATACAGGGGGTTTTAAAACGGCTTAGAGCTAAAGGGGAAACTCTTTTAAATATACGGGGGGGTTTTAGGGGGGTTTAAGTAAGGGACAAATTGTTGTTATACAGGGGATTTAGAGGGGCCTTAAGAGCTGAAGGGACTACTGTTATACAGGAGATTTAGAGGGGTTTAGGCTGAAGGGCTACTTTTTGATACGGGAGATTTAGGGGGCTTAGAGCTGAAGGGACTACTTTTGAATACGGGGGGATTTGACGGGTTTAGAGCTAAAGGGGGACTATGTTGAAACAGGGGTTTTAAAAGGGTTAGAGGAAGGGACTCCTTTTTGAACAGGGTTTTGGGGGGTTTTTTTTAGAGTTTGAAGGGATACTTTTGAAAACCCCCGTGTTTGGGTTTACGGGGGTGGGTTTAAAACTTTTTTGGTTTTTACCCTGTTTTTTATGTACGGGGGAATGGATCAATTAGATTAAAATTTAAGCACTAGTTTTACAACCCTCTATAGGGGAACTTGGTGCCTTTTGGTACGTAGAAAAGACGGTAGGGGGTTTATAGACTTACCCCTTTATGGGGGAGGGGTTTAACCCAAAGAGATTTGTGTGTTGTCCAGGAGTTTAAACCCAAAACGACCCTTTTTTTTTTGGGGGAAGAAGAGGGGAAAAGATGCAAAACGACAGACAACAGCCCGAACAGACAGACAGACATACAGAGATGAGAGACAAGCGTGAGAGAGAGAGAGAGAGAGAGAGATGTAGGGAATGTTCACAGGGAGACTGTTGTCCAGTCTGAGTTAATATGTATGTACAGTATGTGTGCCTGGTTATTAAAGAGAGAACGCGGAAAGTATTTGAGTTGACGTGTGTGTGTGTGTGTGTGTGTGTGTGTGTGTGTGTGTGTGTGTGTGTGTGTGTGTGTGTGTGTGTGTGTGTGTGGTGTGCGTGTGTGTGTGTGTACCACAACAAGGAGAGGACATACACTAATAGTGAATAGAGGAGAGAAAGGAGAGGTGTCCAGTAGAGGAGAGGAGAGGAGAGGAGAGGAGAGAGAGGAGAGGACACACTCATCTATATTTACAGGCTGTTGTCACTGGATACTTTACTATCCTCATAGAGACCATCACACACACACACACACACCTCCCTGGGAGGATGGAGTTGGACCAAAATCCTCCCCCACCCCTCCTCTTCAGACAGAGATAATAGCTATAATGGCCACATTGTCCTTCCCCACAGCTAATGGCTATATTCACCCCATCTCCTCAGACCTAATGGTAATTGGATCCCCACCCTTCCTGAATGTGTGTGTCCCACCCTATCCCATCTGCAGTATGCTCCAACCACAGCAGCTAGCTGGTCCAGTCTAGCGGGTCCAGTCTAGCAGGTCCAGTCTGACCTCCTATCCAATCCATGCCTGCAACCCAAATGACACACTATTCCCTTTCCTTTTGACCAAGGCCCATAAGGAATAGGGGTGCCATTTGGGACGCAATCCCTGTCAGAACTCTAAGGGCTCTAACCTACATTATGGGCACATATCAGAGTTTACATTCAAACCGGATATCACCAAGGAAACCACACACAAACCCTCTATCAGTGGGCCAATCACAAGGCTGGATTATGAAAATGAGGAAAAGATGAACAGATCAATATTATTGGTTTATCCTTCACATGATGGATAAGGATCAGAGGGAGATAAAGGAGGGGAGATAGAGAGAGAGAGCAAATCAGGGATAGAGGGCGAGAGATAAAGGAGGTGTAGAGGAAAATAGATAAACTGGTAGAGGAAGAAGGAGAATGGGAGAAAATAAATGGCAACCAGTCTAAAAAGCGATTTCTGCCTGTGTATGTCGGTCTGAGATTCAAATCAAATCCA